GGGAATAGAGTAATCACCACGTGTGTGTGTGTGTGTGTGTGTGTGAATATCTAGCGGAGCTAACTAGAAACTAAGAAACATTTCTTACCTTCAAATACTGCAGCCGAGCCTCCAGCTCCGCCTTCCTGATGGAGTCGCTGTAAACCGTCTCCAACCTTCAAGTGAAGAAGAAAGTTCGTCAGTGGAAGAGGAAGAAGTCGTGGTGACAGTAAAAACTCTGTTCATTAGACGTCGGTGGGTCGGAGGAGGAAACACTCGTCACTTTTCATCGAGTTCCTTTGAATCCGTTGGTTGACAATAATTAAGGAGGAGAGGAGACGACCGGGGGAGGACGGGGGAGAGGACGGGGGGGACGGGGGTGTTTATTGGCCTTGTTGTCACTGCTACAGTTTACACAAGACGAAGCTGTGAGGGTAATTTGATGATGTCAGACTGTAAATTCTGCGCCTGCTCCTCGGCTCTGATGTGGCTAACCACAGCCGTCTACTGCAGCAGCTATCAAAGCTAAAAGACGAGGGAGTGTTTTCATCTTCAACTAGTCACGGGGGGGGGGGGAATTCAGAGCTAACGTTAGCTACATCAGTCTCTGTATTCATTGATTCAGTCGATAAACAAGATAAACTTGAATTAAAATGTAAATATTGTTGTCGTTAAACTTTAAGATTTAATCAGAGAAACTTGTTTTTTTTTGTGAGTCTTTCTTCACTGGTGTTGACATGACAGGACTGTGAGAGTGAAACTTTCAACCGACCAATCAGAGATCTCGATGACTCTTCTCTTCTTCTCTGCTTTGACTGTCGTCAGACAAGGAGAACATTTGACTTCAGTCAATTTGAATATTCTTCCCAGCAGTCTTCACACACACACACACACACACATATACGTATATATCTGGTCAGTACTGCCGCTGTCCGTGTGTGTGTGTGTGTGTGTGTGTGTGTGTACCTGAGTGTGTTGCCACAGGCCCTGATGAGCTGAACGATGTCCTTGTGCCTAAACCCATCCACGGAGTTCTCGTTCACGCTTGCGATTGTGTCCCCTGAAACACAGTCACAGACACAGACACAGACACAGACACAGACACAGTCAGAGTCACAGTCACAGTCACAGACAGAGTCAGAGTCAGAGTCAGATCATGCCTGTGAACCAACAACCATCTGGTCAGGATGCTCTTTAATCAGTCACTGCAGCCTCCAAATAAAGATGAAGACACATGTGCGACACAAATGTGGAGCATGTGCAGTCGTGGCACCCAGCCCCCCCCACTGCCCCCCCACTCTCCTGGAACCACTATTATCACATGTTACAGCCGTTCAGTAGTCGAATACAAACGACTGATTAATCTGTCACATATTTGTTTATTTATTTATTTAACAAACAGTCAGATCTCTGATCAGAACTCCACGGTTTTTCCTTCAAAACACAAAATTATTTCTTATATATATTTATATTATTTACACCGACGGCTGCCTCTAAAACGTGTTCATCATCGCTGTTACTGTTGTTGCTGTTACTGTTACTCTCATATAGGTGAACCTGTGTTATTTACGGCCGCTGATGTTCGTGACAGCGGTCGCTCTTTGGTTTCGGCACGACGTCCGTGTTCCTCTTTCACAGACGCAACGCAGCTCACGATGAAGTCATTGTGTTCCCGACAAAGACAGTAACAATAGAGCGAGCGCGTGTGGAATGTGGGAAGTGAAACCGAGGTGACGGAGACGCAGTGGACAGAGGAAGTGCTGACGTGTGGCGGCAGAGCAGTTCTGCTTCTGACAGAGTGGCGCCAAGATGGAGGACACGTAAGAAACTGATGAAGTCACTCCAAATAAAATAAAATACAAATAAAAATTTCAACGAGCTCAGAAAACGACAGTTACTGTTTTCATCATTGATTTCACTCCAACAAATAATTAAAAAAAGTTTTGTTTTTAAAAAGAAAAAATACACACGTTTATAACACTTTTTTTTGTTTTTAGAAAGAAAAAATACACATGTTTATAACACATATATACACACATGTAGATATATGTGGATATATATTTTGTCAACACACAGATATATGTGGATATATATTTTGTCAATAAAATAAATTAACATTTTATAAACAAAGTTAATGTATTTATAAAATATGACGTTGCATTTTAGTCCACTGAAACAACTTCAATATTGAAAACCAACTGAATCCAAATCTAAATTAAAATATTTAATATATAAATAAGTTAAGATTAAAGTCAGCGTTTAAGTCCAAAGACTTAATAAAAAAAAGGGTCAAAATGAAGACTGAAACCTGGCAACCAAGTGTTGGTTCAACAAGCCTGTCACTAAGCTGTTTGTTGACTGGAAAATGAGTGGGCGAAGGATTATATTTGCACTTCCCCAAACAGCCACACGAGACTGATGCAGTTGACAACGAGTGTCAACTGCATCAGTCTCACACAAGTGAGTGGAGATAAACACCCGAAAACCAAAACATCCTCTTTCTGACACTTCAGTCTGTCAGGTTGGTCCAGACACACAAAAACAAACAAACCAACCAACGTACCGACTTTCAGGCCGGCCTGCTGGGCTGGACTGTCCCCGTGGACCTTACACACAAACGTGCACATCTCCACTGAGTTCTGGTCCTGGTGGTGGAGGCCGTAGGTCTGTGGGACACACACACACACACACACACACACACACACAGATGAAACCACATGTCAGAAGAACGGACCAACGTTTCAAACCACAGTTTTCAGACGGAGCAGGAATTTGGTGCAACACGTCGGTGACGTGGGTGACGTCTGCCAATGAACCCAGACGACCCGGCAGAGAGGAAGCTGCCAGAGACGGGGCAGGAAACCAGATGATATCAGGAGGATGGTGAAACCGTGCACCTTCGTGTCTTTGGTCGGATTCTGATTCTGATTCTCCAGCGGCCGTTACACGACAAACGCCAAACATCAGAGCGGAAATCGAACAAAACTTAGACGCTGTTTATACATTTATATAAAAATAAAACTATTTGATCAAAAAAGATCATGTGAACCAACAGGTGGTTTGGAAGTTTGAAAACTAGTGGTTCTCAAAGTGGGGCATGCCCCCTCACACAGGGTCCCCAGAGGTATTTGCCAGAAGGCAAATAAATGAATTTCAGAATTTTACTTAATTGTACCACTGAGTGATTGTAATACATGCAATATATACATCGAAATATATAAATATATGTATGTACATATACGTATATATTTATATATATATATGCTGTACAATTTTAGTTAACTTAGCGCCACTGTGGAGTAACTGCACTATACCCAGTATATACATATATAAATATATACATATATGTATGTACACATTTACATACTGTATAGTGTTAGTTAATTGTGCCACATTGGAATTTATTGCACTGTATCCAATATATACATATATAAATATATACATATATGTATGTACACATTTACATACTGTATAGTGTTAGTTAATTGTGCCACATTGGAATTTATTGCACTGTATCCAATATATACATATATAAATATATACATATATATTTGTACATGTGTACTGTATATTCACATGTCTACATATATACATACATATATGTATAAATACACACACACATATAAATATATATGTGTGATCACCATATCAGTGGTCCAGCGACCACAGTCTCTCAGTCTCACTTCCTGTCTTCACACTCCTCTCTGGCCGCCAACAGACCACTGAAGGCGTCTGAGTCTCAGCTCACAGACCAAACTCTGACCGTGTCATAACACAACGTGCAGGTCATCAGTCTTTCCATCAGCAGCGGTCGACTGTTCCCTAAAATATGACTTTGGATAAACTGGCCTGTTGGAAATTACCCATGATTCTCATCTGCCCGCTCCAACTCTTGTTTCTGCTTCTGCTTCTTCCCACTCTGCAGCCGGAAAGACACCGTACACACACAGACAGCGAAGCGTGTAAACCAGACGAGCAGCTCAGGAACGGAGGAGAATCCAAAACATCTCAGGCCGGCTGCTGTCGGCCTTCAGAGCGGCCCCTCGTGATCCCACTTCCTCCTGGCCTCAGGAAGGCACAGGAAGGGTGGGAGCCTCCAACAGAGGCACAAATAGAACAATCAATCTTTTTACACTTCTCAGATACAGTTCCTCAGAAACTCGACTCTGGTACCAAACCACGACCGAGGACGCCGTATCGCCGAGTATTTTTAGGAACGGGTCTCGTGTCAGAGACAGAGAGGAAGTGAGCTGTGACCAGACAGACCCCCCCCCCAAGTTCAAACGTGTGGTGAGGAAACCACATGGATGAGAACCTGTGCCCCCCCCCACCACCACACAGTGGGACTGACGTGTCACCCCTCAGCTCCACTGTGGTCGTGACGTTAAAGGTCGCCTTCAGAACCGCTGCGGTTCATCTCTGAACTCTGAACGTGTCTCACCTGGATCTCAAACCCGAACGTCTCCTCTTCGTTTTTTTCCAAGACCACCAGTTTCCTGGAAGATGTGAGAGATTATCTTGAGTCAAAAAGTCCAAAGACAGACGTCAACAGACGTCAACATTGACCAGTTAGTCAGACGTTAGTGCTGTGATGTACTGTGATGACTATATGCACGATGACAGTGTGTCTGTAGTCCCAGTGTGATCTTAGTCTGAGACTCTGTTCCATCTGAACATCAGTTCCTAACTCTGGAACAGAGGGATCTACATTTGGAATCACTAGAGAAGAAAGAAAAGAACAAGAACATGAACCAACACCAGGAATATTGGACTGGGAATTGGTGAGAAAACATCATTAACTGATGGAGGAGGAGATTGATACGAGATCAGGAGAGGAAATAGTTTTAGTTTTAGTGTTTTTGTTTCAACTTTATTCAAAACAGTTCCCATCATGCTTTGCTATAATGCTTTATACGTTTTCAAAAGGTAAATGGTGATCAGTGATGGTTTCAGTTGACTAAAATAAACTTTCAGTGATGGTTTCAGTTGACTAAAATAAGTAAAATCTTTCAGTGATGATTTCAGTGGACTAAAATATTTTTTTTAATTTCATTGACTTAAAACTAAACTGCAGTTAAAACTGACTGAACTGGGACCAAGACTGAATTAAAACTGAGTTCAAAGACTAATGTTGTCAGTCAAAATTATCACCCATGAATAAAAATTTAAAAAAAACTTCATCTGTGTGTGTGTTCTCAGAGTGACAAACTGGTCGAGGCACAGAAAGAAGGTTAACATTTTACGACCCACTCCCAGAAGGCCATACACCAAAGGTCAGAGGTTGACCTCCGACTTGTCCAACACAAAGGAGGGAGACAACGGGTGAGGGATGAACATCAGAGAGAGGAGTGAGAGGAGTTCTACCTGTGTGGTTCTGGTGACTGTGTCACGGGTTTCCACTTCTGTACGTCACCACCCTGAAGAGAGAGAGAGAGAGAGAGAGAGAGAGAGAGAGTGAAAACAAGCCATGAAGTGTGTCATCATCACCAAGGTAAACCCCAGGACACACCCACAGTACACATCAGTACTCATCAGTACACATCAGTACAGCAGTCAGTTGACTGTTGAAGCTGCACACGTGCAGAGCAGAACTGGAAATACACGTCCGTCTGATCTTTGTTTACTTCATCTGCACCGGGCGCCAAAGGTTGAAGATTAGATTTCCTGCTTCGGCTGCAGTTTCTTTTTATTCTGTTTCTATGATTAAATTAAAATGAAGTCAAGTTTTTTAAATAACACTGACCAATCATGAGAGGGGGCGCTGCACACACTGGGACACTGACCTTCACCCCCCCCCTCCCCATAAAAGAGTCAAAGAGAAAGTCTACTCTGTGAAGGGGAAAATAAATGTGTCACAATAACTGTTACTTTCTGTTCTAATACCAGTAGGGGGTGTTAACCACCCCCCCCCCCCCCCCGGCTCCAAAGCACAACTGCAACACAATAACAGCATTGAGTAAACCGACCCAAGGTCGTCGGCACCCTGCCCTACCTGACTGTGCAAATTAGACGACTATCAAACTCCCCCTTCACGTCCCCGCCCCTAAATCAGGTACAATGAATCCACTTCTGTCCCGCGCCGTTTTCAAGCGCTGCCCCCTGTGAAAGGCCGTCTTTGTGTCGCTGCCTCTTCTGGTAGTAAAATGTTGCTGTCTTTACAGCCCAACACTTACAGAATTGTCCGACGTCCATCTGAATGAGTGCATTTATTAGGATCTCCATCCCTCTGTGTGTGTACAATGTGCTGTTGTAGCCCCTCACTCCTGCTACGCAACATTTGGAGTGTGTGGGCCCGCGGGGGAACTGAGCCTGTCTTTACACTGCCCTGCCACACATGTCTCCTTTCAACACACTCGGACGTAACCCCCCCCCACACACACACACCACCTCCTCCCCCCCTTTCTTCCCTCCCTCCACACCACCCTCTACCCCCTGAAAAAGCTCCCAAGAAAGAGTTCTAGTCCCAGTTTGAATAGTTGGGATTAGAGTTGAAGAGGAATTGACAAAAAGTTACAAAACAGCGAGAATCAGACAAAAAAAAAAATCAGACAGGAACAGACCAAAACCAGAAAGAGACAAAATACAGAGAATAATACACCAAAATACAGACAAAAATACACCAAAAACAATCAGAAACAGACAGAAATATGACGACCAACGTTTAGCTTCGATGAAAACTTTGTCGTCTGTGTCACAGACTTTGACAACTTCCACCTCAAAGCTCTAATTAGAACAGGTTTTAAACGACTGCTGCTGTCGTCACACACGTCACACTGTTGCCGAGCTTTAATGGGTAATTTTACAGTGAACTGACACAAACGTTTTGGGCGAAATTAACAGGAGTTTAGCTAACAGCTAATTAGCTTAGGAAACCTGTTCATGACAGACGACAATTCTTGGGGGTTTAATGGAGTTCAACTGACTCGATGATCAACGTATGGAAAGAGTTTTGTTCCTTTTAACAACACTTTAATGTCATGAAAACCAAATTCTTTATTAATTATTATTTTTTTGTTAAATTTATGATTCAGTAACAATCCTGAAATGTTGTGTTTGTGTGTGTTCCTGGTAGCTATACTTGTGGGGACACAGATAGAGGACATACAATACCAATGTTCCAACATTTAGTTTGGAGTTAGGATTACAGTTAGGGTCAGATTAGAGTTGGGGCACGGATTAAGATTAAGACAATATTTGTAACACGGTAATAAATTATGTATGTTAAAACGCCCACAGAACAGAAAATAGGTGAGTGTTTGTATTTGTTTTCTTTTTCTTTTTGTATCGCTATTTGGAATAATATTATTTTTTTTTTTTTGTATCGCTATTTGGAATAATATTTCCCTCAATTGTTTGACTTCAAGACAGACACGGAATCTACAGTCGTTGGAGAGGAATGAATAAATAATATTTATAAAAAAATAATAAATTAATCAAATTGACAACAAGCAGGTTAAAGTGCTTTGTTTGTACTATAACAAACTACAAACAAAAAGATAAATGTCATCCTGGGAGGAGGAACGTTTGTTTGTCGTGGTCGACGGGATCAAACAAATGACGAACCAGGATGAAAAAGACCTTGTTATCGTTCCCAACAGGTACATTCGCGTCATAAAAATAAAATAAAAAAAAATTCAAACTTTTTGGTGTGTTTACCTTTTTGTAATTCCTGGGCAGCGTCCCTCCAGAGTACGCCAGGGTCCTGTAGTTGTACACATCGGAGGAGTTTCTGTGGAAGTCCTCACCCCGGCAGCTGTCGGACTTTGACGAAGGAAAATAAATGCCGTTGTCCTGAGATGCGGCTCCAGAGTCCGGGCCGCTGGAGTTGACTTTCTTCAGCCTCCTGAAAGTCATGGTGAGCTCATATGTGTGTGTGTGTGAGATGAGCAATGACTGGAGCTCTGGGAATATTGAACGGAGGCGGCTGGTGAAGTTAGCCCCGGGGGCAGTGTGTCAGGTCAGCGGGCTCGGAGACGCTGCTGACTGTGCTCTAAGAATCAGTCAGCGTGGTCGAGCTCAACTTCACTATTTCTCCTGATTGAAGTTGTGGGCGGGGCCTGCGATGCGCATCCTCCGTGGTGAGTTCAAATGCATCTCGGACAAGTCGGTGTGGCGTTAAAGCAGCCAACATGTACTGTATATCGTTTTAATATTTAAAATAGAGAATACAAAGACGTTTTCACGTTACGATACAACTTTTACATCTACTAATACTTCAAACTTTACTACAACTACTTCTGTACCTGCATATATTGTTATCGCTACTGCTAAAAACTACTTCCTCACTTATCTTTACGTTTGCGTTCCAACTACAGCGATTGATTACTACAACATTCAATGCGACTTCGACCAAGAACCAATAATATGCACGTATTTAATTTAACTTTGACAACTGAATCTTTAATTTAAAATATATAAAATATATATATTTCCCCAAAAAAGCATTAAATTCAAACAATTTAAAATCAAGTAAATATAAGCGGTTAAAAAGTTAATAAAAATACTGTATTAATACTTTTATCTGTCTATCTATCAGGTCTAAGAAACACGGAAGTATGAACATTTTCCAGGGTACTAAGAACCGTTACTGATGCAAATGATTAAATAAAAAAAACCTCACTCAACAACAGACGGTTGGCAGACCGTCTAGTTAAACCAAGTAAAAATATGGATTGATTTCAATTTATTTCTATTTTTATGCATTTAGCAAACACGTTTATCCATATCGACTTAATGGCAAATGACCTTTCACCTCAGCACATTTATTTCCAAGGAGCAAGACAATGAAATAAATAAAATATATTTATGTCACGTAGATTACACAAAAGTGAATGGCGCCACCTTGTGGTAGAAATAGGTAGATACCCAATGTGAGTAAAGGATTGAAAGACTAAAATAAATGCTTGAAGGTCAAACTGGTTTATTAAAATCTTTACATAGTGTGTCATTTCAGACACGTGACATTCGCAGCAGATACACTGAGATGATATGATCATTTGAAGAAGCCTGCGGTAATTAAATAAAGTACACAAGTATATGTTAAGACTATACACCGTTTACCACAACAGGTTTGTGCCAGTTAGCAATATTTCAAAGTTACTTTTCAAGTTACTTTCTGTGTTTAATAACATGTCATCACACACACACTCACACTCCCACTCACTCTTACATCCAGGCTGGTCCTCACAGACAGCAGTATAAGCACATGTAGGTACAAGAGGAACAGCCAGAGAGACCGTCGCTGCAGTGGGTCAACATGCGGCTCCCGTGGGCAAAGACCTGTCGTGTCACTGTCCCTGTGTCACATTCAAGTATCTTCTAAAATAACTGAAAATAAATAAATAAAATTCTTTTAAACTACCAAATAAAACAACATTTTTTAAACTTCTCAGCCTAAACCAGACCAAAAACAGACGGTAAGGCACGTGAAAAGCTGAAAACAAGCCGTCTTTTTTTTTTTTTTAAATCTATGATGTGTTCCTTACTTTAACTTTGATTTAAATTCCACCAGACAGAAGCAGCGTGTGTCTGGTATTAGAAATACATGCCAGTTATATTTGGTCAAATTCATTTCGCCACCATGCAGACACATCTTATCACACACGTGTGTGTGTGTGTGTGTTCACAGGGCCATACTTACTTTATAAGTTACAGGGATGCATAAATACGATTATTTTACATCATACACAATCAAATTTGATCTATTTACAATTGGACATAAACACAGAGCGGGTTGGTTTATTTGAAGAAGCCAGTGGATTTGGTCTGAGGAGCCATCAGCATGGAGGCCTGGTTCTTGTGTCTGATATGGATCTGAAAAAGACAGAAAAAACAAAACAATAAAATATTTAAAATTATAAAATTAACTTTATACTCTTGTACCAACATCAGCTAATATCTATAGTATTAACTTCAAATTTGGAAACCAAAAATGATGACACTGCATAATATTATGTTGAAATCATTTAGAACAGGGTCCCCCAACCTTACGTGTGAACATTGTTTTTTTTTTTTTACATTAGACACGGATTCATACATTTATTTTCTTATTAAAAATGTGCAAAAAAATATATTTAATATTTTTTAAATAATCAACTAGAAATATAAATACACACAGCCAGAGCCGGCTTTCGGCATAGGCCACTTAAATTATTGTAAATGGCGCCATCTGCTGGAGATGACGATGCTGTAACCCCTTAAAAAATAAATAAAAAGATTACACTGTAGACATAGGGGGCGCTGAATCACAATCTCGCCTAGGTTATGTTTGTAATAAATACTACCAATGAGTACGACAATACTTCAGTAAGTTTTATGTAGTAAGTGTAATATTGAAGTAAATAATATATAAATAACATAGGAATAAAAAGTATCTTAATTCTTACAGACTCTAATCTAATCATCTCAACAACATCAACTATCAATCAACTAACATCTACATGCTACAGGCTACATGCTAACTGAGTGTGTGTGTGTGTGTGTGAAGGTACTGAGTGTGTGTGAAGTTGTGGTTCTTGGTTACCGTGCAGGGAGGCTGCATCCACGGCTCTCCATCAATCTGCATTGGTAATGGCTTCTTTGTCCTGGAGGATCAACGACAAACAAAGAAAGAAAAACAAAGACTTTAACACAAGTCTTAAAGACAACGAGGGAGCGTCCAACACACACACACATTCACACATAAATACACTCACAAACATTCTGAGCTCATTGTCATGTAAATGTACAGATAACGGCCGGTCTTCAGCTGGTGATCACAGTCACAGGTCTGAGAACGTGCCCCGACGACTGCCTCACCTGATGGTGATCTCTGAGGTTTTGGCCAGCCTCACTGCACTCTTCAGGCCAGTGTAAATCTGACCCATCTCCATGGCGCCCTCCAGGCCGACCACTTCCAGTCGACGGTCGCTGAGATCTGACACGAAAAACATAATAATTAAACTTTTTTTTTTTTTTACAAATGTACACAATTTTTAAATGCATTTTAAGTTTTTTTTTTCACTTAATATTTTTATTTTTTTTGGTACTGAGTGGACATTACATTACAATATAATATATATTATTAATATATATATTTTAAATATATGTTATTATTTAATTAGAAAGTAAAAATATAAATCATCAATTTTCAGCCAAATTTGTTCTTTTTTTCTTTTAGAACCTGGTCATCAAAAAGAAAAAAGGTCAAAGTAACAAAGTACTGCTTGATACACGTGTGACATTTTTGTACGTTTCTGGCCTAATTATTTTGATCTGACCTGTTTTTTTTTTTAATTCTGCTAAAAGGCAAAGACAGGAAGAACAGAGAGAGAGAGAGAGAGTCATCGTTTTAATAATTAGAGCTAAAAAAGACCTCATTAATTTAATAAATGTGAGTGATTTGAATGAGTTAGACCAAAAGAACCCTGCAGTCTGAGTTTAAAGGAACATTTTTAACATTTAACATTTTTTAAAACTAAACAGCAGAAACATGATTTTTGTCCAATCACAGCACAGAACATATTTCTTCGTCTACGACGGACGTTCATGGTCATGTGATCATCCAGGTGGATGACATCATACCTTGTGAGGACACTTTCAGGATTTCTGGGTCGGTGATCACGTCCGGCTCCTCCTGGTTTCCCACTCCCTTGGCGTCCCCCTTTTTGGTCTCGCCCCATAAGTTGGAGCCGCCATGCATGCTGGGAATGTTAAGTATGGCCACCCCCTCCAGGGACAGGCTGCTGAGGTCCAGCGGTGTTCCACAGCACTAGAGACGGAACAGCAGAGTCAAGGCATCGGTCCACAGACTGGGCACCAAATCGGTTCCAACGCCTACGTTTTGGGCCCCGCCCCCCCCACTCACCTCGATCGTGAGACTTTCACTCAGCTTCTTGCAGGAAGCGGAGATGGTTTCTGAAGTGGCAAATTCAAAATACCACAGTTTGTTCTTCATCCTGTAGTGAAGAAAGTAAAAAGAGTTTGACTTTTCACTTTCACTTATTTTTCATAAATGGGCGGGGCCTGTCAGCGAACAGTCGCAGCTGCAAACACCTGCTGTCACCGAGGACAACGTGACGATGAGTCAGACAACGGACGAAGACCAAAGACCAGGGATCGGTTCTGAGCTTTTTCTTACGTACTGGTTTCCCCACAAAGGAACAAATTAAAACAAAAACTAAAAAATTAATTTGAGTTCCTGTGACCTTAAAGCAGCAGCTCAGTGCACCGCTATGAGGACCCAACCCTCACATTTGGAACCGCTGTTCTAAGCAAATTACAGTAGAGTTACATGAAAACCACACACACACACACAGTGTAAAGCTGTACCTGCTGTTGAACTTCTGTGGATGTTTCTCCCTCATGGTGTGGAACCGATGAGCGATGGAAGCGTCCTGTTGACACGATGACACATTTTCAAACCCAATATGTAGAACACATGTCAAACCGAAGGGCCGTGGACCAATTTTGGCCCGTCCCCTTATTTTCTGTGGCCCACCAAATCTTAACATGAATGTGTTTTTTTTTTAAATTGTGTAAGTAAAGAAATACAATTAACAACAGCAGCTGCAATAATAAACATTAACCATCAGTGCAAAAGTGGAATATAACAGATATATAATACTGTGTATATACTAATATATATATATATAAGCTAAAGGCAGTATAATAGTAGTACTATTGTTATATAAATATATAGAGTAGTATAACCCTGAACAGAGAACTGCAGTACTGTGTGTATCAGCACTTCCTCTTCTCTAACATAGTTCTGTGAAACTCACCACTCCAATAGAGAAGTAGTTGTTGATGATTTCGTAGGGCACCGGGTCGCCCTGCCCCTGGTTCTCGTCCGTGATGACCTGCACACTCCAGCGGTCCATCAGCACCTGACAACTGCCCTCGATGTCCCTGAGAATACGGGTTAAATCCTCGCCGTCGTACCCTGGTGGTGAGAAATAAAAACAACACGAAGTGTACACATGGAAACTACCAAAAACACCGGTACTCCTACACGTACTGTATGAAGTACACTTCTACGTCCTACCTCCTCCCCATCGCAAACAGCGTGCGAGGTCATTTCCTGTGCCCAGAGGAAGTACAGCCACAGGCGGCCGTACCAGCAGGTTGGCTTTGTCTGTTTGTTTTTTTTCAGGAACAGAGATGAAAAATAAAATACGTCAGGAATGTTGACTCAGGGAGTTCACGTTGGTTTTTCCTGACCCAGAATGTTTATGTGACCTATTGCATCGAGGATCCAGCCGACGGTGCCGTCTCCTCCACACACCAGGATCCTGTAATCCTGCAGGTCCCTGAAGAAACTCAGTCTGACGGAGAGAGGAGGATAAAAAAAAATAAACACCTGATGTTAGCATGAAATATTACTGATAAAGCCGTGAGAAATAAGAAACATTTAAAAAAGAAAATATTTAAGAAAATATCAATACACTGAAATATTGCAATATCTCCACTCCTGATCTCGTATCAATCTCCTCCTCCATCAGTTAGTGATTTTTTATCACCAATTCCCAGACCAATATTCCTGGTGTTGGTTCATTTTCTTTTTCTTCAATATATCCTCAATATATCGCACGTATCGTATCACCAGATTCTCGCCTATACACAGCCCTAAAACAAAATCCCTTCAGTTCATCATTTAGTTCATTCAGGGATTATAATCTACAGTGTGGGATCACAGGTTATAATCCAGGTTCACACAGCAACAAAAACTAGTTAAAGTGTCTGCAGCGTTTTTTTTCTCTCTCTCGTGATTCCAAATTTTCATTGGTCTTTGTGAACAATCCAGTCCTTGTTGGACAGATGTCTGTGGGCAGCGCCCACACACACACACACACACACACACTCACACACACACACACACACAGATATGGTGAAAAGGACAAGAGTGTGTACGCCTTATCACATGTATGAAATACTACAGAGAAACCAGACGTCCCTGTTGTGCTGCGTCTTCTCCTCCGTCGGCGTCAGACATTTAAACTGTTCGGCTAAGGTTCAAAGAAGTCACATGACACATTAAAGCGTGGTCATTGGCTCCTAACGGTCGTCCGGCCCACGTACTGGTGAAATACTGGTGAATCAGTCAAAGAGTTTGTGTTGACGTCAGTCTGTTGTGGTCACTCACCCTGGTCCTGGTCCACCGTTGGACAGATTGTAGACCTGACGTGGATTCAGCAGATACTGGAACTTCCTCAGGACTCTGGAAGACATGAGACCGGACTGAAGCGCGTCGAACGGCGGCGTCCGACCGACGGCGTCCGACCGACCGACGCCTCCACGTGAACGTTTCTCTGGACTCACCTTTCTCCCTGCTTGCCCCCACTTTTGGGATTAACAAACACTAGCAGCGGGTGTGTGTTTGGCACAGGGATTATCTGTTGAAGGACACGTTCAAAATGATTATTTGACGTTCCCAGATTAGATGAATTGGGACGACGGGATTAATCAAGATTAGTCATTAATTAACAAAACATCAACATCTTTGATATAAACACAAATCACAGTTAAAAAATATGTAATTGTTTAAACCGCCAGCAGGGGGGGCTGTACTGCAACAATTTGGTGATATTTTAGGTTAATTAGACTTTTTTTCACTATATTTTAATTAAGGCTGTCAAAATCAATGCATTAATTAATTATTTAATTATATTGATGTAATGTGGTGTAATGGTAGGACTCCTGCCTTCCACTAGAGGGCTCTGAGTTTGATACTAACTAGTCTCTAAATTCATTGGTCGTGAAGGGCACATACAGACTAACTCTATGGCGACACCTAGTGAAGACCTTAAATAATTCCTTGACTCTTTAAGATCTAAAATCTAAATGTTACATTTTTAATATGTGAATTTTCATAAAACATTGTTTTAATTAAATTAAAAAAGTTCACTGATTTATCTAGTAAAAAGTTTTTATACTTCATAAACTTTTGCTTCTTCCAGGTTCAAACTGGACCCATGATGTAGCATGTACCTGAAGCACTTGTCCATCGGGGGTGGTATTGAGCTCGCTATCCTCCGGGGACCCTGCAGAGCCATTGTTTGGTCTCTCCTTGCAGAGGAAAACAAGACAGAGAGTAAACACACTAGTGTATTTTTTTTTTGATGAATAACAAACTCATCAGAGCGGCCTAGAGGCCAAACACTGTTTGTACACAACAAGAAACAGCAGGAAACTGATGTCTGCGTTGGTGGGACACATCGTTTGTAGAGCGCATGTGTCCCAGTTCTGCCCCAGGCTCAATTCTGTACCTTTATTACAGGATATACGGCCCACGGGGGCAGGATATGGTCTCTGAGCGGCCCACAACTGCACTCCTTCGGCTCTTGGCCCGCACACGCGTCGTGACGCTGCAGAACATAAACAACGCCAGGTTACATAAAGAGGAGATTGATGTACGGTACCTATATAAACATGGTGTTTGATTCCAGCTGGGTTGCGTGGTAGCAGGAGAATCCAGGAATGACTGACAGCCGCAGACCCGTCCTCACTGCTTACATAAATCTTAGCTCTAATTATATAACAATGTCTCACGGATCAGGGTACACGCTCACCATGGTGTGGCACCACACGCAGTGTTTGCCCGTTATACCCTGGAAGCTCTTGATCTTCTTCTGGCATTTATCGCACTTCCTGGTCTCACAGTTCCCACTCACCCAGTCATGAGCTGCGACCTGTTGAAATGTGGGACAAATATGGTTACATCATCAGCTGATCACAGCAAAAAAAAAAAAAAAAAAAAAAAAAAAAAAAAAGCAGGGCTGCTTTAGACCAGTGGTTCCCAACATGAGGGGCTGGCCCCCCGTCAGAGCTCGCTGAGCTCCTGTGAGGGGTCAGACACAGCAAAGAAAACCTTGTGGATTAATTTGACTAATGTATTTATAAATGTATTTTCCGTGTGCATTGAGAATAGCAGAAAATACAGTGTTTTAAAAAAAGTACAGAGCGGGTTTTTTTAGACAGAAGATGTGACGAGAATCGTCCCATTCAGAAAAAGTTTGGGAACCACTGTTTTAGACCCCGACGCTGGTTTACCCCTGCTTCTTTCTTCGACTTCACATAAGTTCTGGTGCAGGGAGCAGGGTTCTTGTTAGCACAGCGTCCGTGGACGGTGTATTTGCAGCCTGAAACACAAAACACAAAGTATTTATTTTATAATATTTCTTAACTGATTTTATATATACATATATACATATATATTTTACAGTTTTTTAGAGTTATTATTTTTTCTACAACAAATTTCTCATGAGAAAGGTCAACAAAGTGTCGCCCCCTCTGGTCAGTCGTGGTACTCACAGGTGCAGCACAGGCCCTGCTTCCTCAGACCCAGCAGCATGCTCTGACACACGTTGCAGTACACGGGCTTGTTGAAATGTTTCATCCTCCACAGGTGCTGCCCGTCTTTCTGAGTCATCTGTTGTCAGACAAATTCACAGAAACACAACGTCACAAAAAAAAAACAAAAAACAGAAACTTCCACTTATTTCCAATTCAAATCAGCTTGGTTTTTATGTAATCTAAAAACAGAGCGTGTTTTTGCGGTTCGGATGAACCATCAACTGTGAGATAAATCATTTCACACACAGCCCCTCCTGCCCCCACTCCCACTGATGACTAACACAGGCCTCTGTACGTGTGTGTGTGTACAACGTAGTACATCTTTATACATCACAGGTTTTTAAATGAATTCAGAGGAGTTAGTGGAACATCACGATCAGCTCCTGCGTTTCCCCCGGACTCGATGATTCAGGCAACTGTGCTCAGGCTGAGTTCATGAAGCCGGGCTTCAAATGTCCACCGGTGCCCAAAATAGGCCGAGGGGAAGTCCCTGGCATTGTTGTGGCGTCTAAACCCAGTGACAGAGTCCAGCTGGTGGTTTTAGATCCTCAGCCTCGACAGTCGGGGGGCATTTACATTCTTGGCAGTGCAATAAGTAATCGTTAAAACACCAAAAATCACCCCGTGATTCAATCAACTATTTTTATGAGTAAACACAATACTGAAATGATTAAAGATTTTCCTCAAATACGAGAGTAAAAAAAAAAAAAAGACGGGTAGTGTCAATTTTAAAATGAGTCTGTTAAGAACTAAACCACACAGTCTTTCCCAGCAGCGTTGACCAGTTTTATCGACATATCATTGTCTGGTTTTACCTTTTTTTGTTTTGTTTGTTTTTTTTTCAACAACCACAAATGTATTGTTTGGACAAATGTCACATTTAAACTAAACTTGTGGAGTGGAAACCTGGTAAAGTAGTAGGTTTTAAAACTGGACTTTATTCCTTAGACCGGTTGTGACCTGGTGTCAAAGGTCACCATTCAGAATTCTACAGAGAAGGAATTCTCCAATAAAAACACCACAGAAGATGTTAATTTTGACTTGGTCTTAGTCAATTTGGTAAATTTTAACTTATTATTAATATTAAAACGTTTTAAAGTTAGTTAACTTTCAGTTGACGTATTAACAAAAATATGTATCGACTAAAATGCATTATGTAATAATTCCTGTTCCTAAAATTGACCAAAAAAATTAACCAAACGTCAGCTTTAATGGCCTTTTATAAATAAAACTGTTTTTCGATATATATTAAATTTATTATTATTGTTATCTTACAACGAATTACACAACATTATATTCTTAATTTAAGGATCCGTAAACATACGTGATAAACTTCACTCCATAGTTCCAGATTCGTTCATATATCGCTTCGGTTTGTTATACCTACGTTTGAACGTCACGATGTCGCGTCTGCGCTTTAAATTCGTCATGTTTTTTTCCGCACACAATCTTTTCACACAGTTTCTTGACGGTAAAAGAAGAAAAGTTCCATAAATCAGCCCTACCAGACATGTTTGAGTCGAATCGACTAGAATGTTCCCGCTTCATGCTAGCTTCTACTAACGGTCACACACATCCGCTATGATTGGACATCCGTCTACATGTCCCGCCTTCTACACAACAAAACAGCTCTGATTGGCTTACGTCCAGATTTGACCCTGAGGAAGTCGTCGCTAATTGAACGTCATCCCCGGCCAGTTTTCTTTTTTTGTGTGTCGTTTTTATTGGTTTAACAAATGCATTTCCGTAGTTACTGTTTAGTTCCGTTTACTTTGAGTCCACAAAATCAACACATTTGTCATTATTATTATTATAAAATATTATTTGTAGCACTTCTGAGTCTCCTGGTACGCCCTAGGTGGCGCCAGCAGCAGTTTAATAATGAAGATAAATAACCGCACAGCTTCATAATTACCTTCAGACCCAGGAGGACCAATAAGGGAACGTTGTTCATGCCTCCGTCCACCCACTCGTCCACCGTCACTGTGCCGCTGCTGTCAGCATCGATTGCGGTCATCATGTCCTTCAGCACCTGATGAAAGTGTAATTACTCATTTTAATATATATATATATTTAAAACTCATCATTTATTTATGTCATTTTTATCCCTCATAAAAGTGTGTTCTCCGACTGCAGCTTCCACAGCTGTTTGTTTTCACACACATTAAATGGCTGTGGTCACAGTGAAGCCTTTTCATTTTATTGACCCTGGCAGATGAGTAACAGGTGGTGTCGTACTCAGAATGTGATAAAGAGAAATCTCATGCAAACAAAATGTGCCTCATCTGCACGGTGTCACAGCTGACAGTACGGAGTGCAGTAAAAAAAAAAAACACTGAGGAACCGACCGGCCTCAACTCAGACACGTCCCAGCCCAGGTACTCTGCGGCGTGCATCATCTGGGCGATGATCCGATCCACCTCCTGCATAAAAGAAGAAGAAAAATATATATATATATATTACAGTGGACTTTTTCTTCTTCTTTGGTTGTTTCCTTCAGCTGATCATCTGCCTCCACCTCACCCTGACGTCACACCAATCATGTCCACGCCCTCTTTTGTGACATCCACAAATCTTTTTCCAAACTGCTCCACCTTAACTGCCCCTGTGACCTGCTCACTTCTGAACAGCCTCTTCATCTGCTCAGCCATTGGTCTGTCATTCAGAGCTCCTGTCTCTGAAGTCAAACGTCATAGCAGGTCTCACTACCCCCCGCCCCATGTCGCTCGTCTCCACCTGTTAAATAAACCCACTGAAGTTCGTTCAACACTCACGGAGCTGTCGAGGACTCCGTTGCCGTCTCGGTCGTAGAGCTTGAACGCGACTGAAGAGGAGAGAGAAATGACAGTGGAAAATTCTGGAGCAGGTTTTCATTGACTTCATCAAAAAACACACACAAAAAAAACCAACTCACACTCCAGTTTGTCCCTGGGCTGCCCGTCCTCCAGCAGAGAGAAGTAACAGGAGACGTCCTTCAGAAAAACCTCCTCTGAAGGAGACACACACACACACACACACACACACACACTGACTCAGTGATAGATGGGCCGATGCCAAACAACCAGGCGCTGGTGTAAATTGATGAGTGTGTGTGTGTGTGTGGGTCAGTGCTGCGTGTCTGTGCGTCGGTTCTTACTGGCTTTGTCTCCCTGACCGGGTTCTGAGTTCTGGAAGGAACGAAACAGACGCTGGCAGAGCTCCACCGGGAAATCCTCCACCTCCAGATAGGTCTTCAGGAACAGACGGAAGCCTTCTTCATTGATGCACTGGTCGGGGAAGGGAACAACACGTGGGACAGATGTCAGGAGGAAAGACTGTACAGTGGGGGAGGGGGGGTGAGGAGATGGAGGGGGCGATCTCTGGGGTAACTGAAGACTGGGTTGGATTACAATTAGGAAATGACCATAGAAGGAAGATGAAACGTTTACGCCAAAATCTATAAATCAATACAAAAATGTAATGTTTATTTCAAACCCAATAATAAAATTGAAACATTAACATTTATTATATATATGATATGTTATTATTAATTTATTTAAAGAAACTTTGGTTTTTTCTTCTTCTTCTTCTAAGATTTTCAGTTTCTAAATTAATTTGCTGATTGTTTCTTGATTTTGTAATTGTGTGTTTTACAGTTTTTTAACACCTACTGTTGATAAAGTGTTAAAAAATCAAAAATCTTCTTCTTCTCACACTAACTTTAATTTCAACATCAACTAAATCATCCAAACAAACAAATATACATTTATATATTAAAAAATCATATTTAAAAAAATGTTGAAAACTGCAGTATTTTTTATGTAGTATTTACCAATAATAAAATACCACACTCTCTGTTTTGGAACAGCGTTTCTCACATGACAGATCACAGTGAGAGACGAAGCCATTAGCGCTGACATAATTCCATTTCTATGGTTGATACCCTGCAGAGCTGTCCCATTAATAAATAATGTTCTGGAAAAACAGGAAGAAGAAGAAGAAGAAGGAGAAGAAGAAGAAGAAGAAGAAGAAGAAGAGGAAGATGAAGAAGAAGAAGAAGAAGAAGAAGAAGAAGAAGAAGGAGAAGAAGAAGAAAACTAAATCTCCAACATCTCATCTTCCACAGTAAAAACATTTCCTTCCGTCGACGTTCAGCCCTTGTTTAAAGATTCTTTCCCCCGATTATAAAATTAGATTCCACACAGCCAAATTATCCTTCTGAAATTACTGTAACTGCTTCCTGCAGGAATTAACCACCCGTGACCCACACTGACGTTCAGGTCTGAATAAATCTTCCCACAATGCACTGCAGCTGCCGATCTGCAGAGAGTCGTTGACATCAACGTGACTCATGAGGCTCAGTCTGACGAATAGATGCCAAAATAATTTACAACCAAACAAGACCGAACAATACATGGACTGAACTAGACTGGACTGGACTGGACTGAACTGGACTGGACTGGACTATACTGGACTGGACCGGACTGGACTGGACCGGACCAGACCGGACTGGACTGGACTGGACTATACTGGACTGAACTGGACTGGACTGGACTGGGCCGTGACCCTCCGTCCCACTCACCTCTCCGTGTCTGTGCCGCGCCAAATTGCCATCAGCATCAAACTCCCGCAGCACGTCCTTCACCCTCAAGGTGCAGTCTGGGAGCAGGGACAGAAAGGTCACACAGGAGGTCACACAGGAGGTCACACTATATCGCACAATCCTGTTCTAAAATCCTGTTCTACATGCTACCTTTAGTTAGCATCAAAATGGGTCATAAATTATGAAGAAAACAAATAAAAAACAGTTTTGATTTTATGGCCTGGAGATTGAACCAAAAATGAAGCTGAACAAAAAATAACAAAAAATTATTCATTATAAACGTGAATCACAATTAATTGTGATTATTTGAAAACATTATCAATCAACATTATTGACAAATAATTATAATCGCAATTAATC